GCCGCCGCCGCCTGGTTATGGGCCGCCGCCGCCTGGTTATATGCAGCCACCGCCTGGCTATGGGCCGCAGCAGCAGTACCCGCCACAGGGGTACAGCAATCACAGCGCCCCGCCACCTCCACCAGCAGCGTGGGGCCTCCCGATGGAGCCACCGCGTCCCGTGCCAGTGCCGGTGGCATATGGCCCAGGTGCAGCGCCTGGGATGAGTGATCCTGCTGCGCCACCTCCATTGTACAGCCCGGATGGGAATTCCGCGTTTCAGTACGGGAATGCGTCGTACGAACCACGGAAGGGGAAGGAGTCTTCCGCTGCTGACTGCCCCCCAGCCACTGACGGAGAGGAAAAGGGTGCAAAGAATTGGCAACCCTAAAGGTGTGAGATTGTGCTTCTTCGTATATTCTGCTCCACTCTGGTGCATATCAAAGGATATGCATTCCAAAAATAGTACTGATTCTTTCGTTGCGCTCTTTGATTATATGTTTTCTGTATTCCGCCCTTTGTGTGTATCACTAACAATCAGGCCGTTTCGAGAAGCGAGGGGGTAGAGTCTGGCGTGAGAAGCGAAAAAGAAGGGATGAAACATGTGGCCGTGTGGCATCTATTTCCATGTGGTGTTGCTTCGGCAGGTCGCGGGACATGCCTTGCTTCGTAGTATTCCTAAAGTTGAAGGTGTCTTTCTTTAGAATGTGTTGTCACCTTTTTTTGTTGTTCTTTTCGTACCTCGCATCCCCAGCAGTCCGCGTATGTGGGCGTCAAGCACGGAGTGCATTCTGAGCAGGTCGTCGGTTATATCGCCCCATTTATTTTTCGACTTTTCTTCGTATGTAGGCTGTAGAGAAGAATATGAGCAAAACAGGCGCCATCGCTACTGCGGTGGTGTTCTCCTTATCCGCAGTGATCGGATTAATACTGTTGTCGCTACTGTGTAAACACCGCAAGGATTTATTGAAGCGTCGCGAACGTCGGGCACAGCTGCGCCAGTGCCCACGGGCCGAGCCGTTTGAGCCGCCAGTGCCGTTTCCGGAAGTGGTAGAAGCCTCTGTAGTATTCTCCGGCCAGCAGGAGGCGCGGCGCGGCGCCGAGGAAGACGGTTTGTTCCTCACTCGTGTGCAGAGCGAGATGCAAAGCCCAGTTAACAATACGATGCCGGACCATTTAGGTATCGGCGAAGCTGCAGAAGACGGGAATCATCTTCCGGACGGTCAGTCGCTCGAGTTGTTGCACGGCTTGCCTATTGATCGCCGCAATCCCCAAATGCCTGATGTAGGTGTTGAGGAATGTGGTGTACGCCGTCCCACAGGTGTAATGTACCGCCTGCGGAGTGCCGACGCCGTCTACGGCTCTGCGGAGTATACGTCTCATAGATCCTGTGGCACGGCGCACGCGGACGCGGAGCGGGCGCTGCGTGCAGACCCGGAGGCGATATCCCCGCGCGTCCGCGCTGACGCAATGACGTGCGAGGTGCCGATGTCTTGTGCCTGAGGGTGAGAACGAGAGAAGAGCATCCGTACATCCTCACAGCACTGGTGCATTCACACAATCCTTGCTGCCTGTGAGGCCGGCATGCGTGTAAGGAGAAGGCCCATGCAAATATGGTTTACTTACACTTATCACCGCTTGGCAGCAGAGCGTGTGTGTGCGTTTAGGTGCAGCAGTCGTTTAAATCCATGTTCCTTCAGTTGGGATGCCTCTGCAACTGTGATCCCAAACGCTATCCCTCTCTCTTTTTTTGTTTGTTGGTATCTCCTTTCTCTCATAGTTTTCATATCACCTACACACACGCCGATTGCGCTCGGGAAACGTAATACCTCTTTGGTTTGGCCAAGAGTCTTTCTCCCACTCGCTTCCCCGAGATGGAATGGCCACAACCGCCAGTGTGCGCGCATATATGGCGGACGCATATGTCTAGGCGTTTACATGTGTGCTTATATAATACGTCTATACACATATATGCATATATATATATATATATTTATTTATGTATATATTTATGTATATATGTGTGTGGGACGGCAAAAACAAAAAGAATGAGGGCGGATGCAGTATGTGCATCCTTGACATACGCGGGCTTCTGCTTTGCTCGCCCTTCAACACCACTGCAATTCACCCCACCGACCACAGGAGGTGATGTGTGGGGGTGTCTTGCAGGTGTTCTATCGGAGTACTTGTGCTGACTGTGTTGTTCACTTGTTTGATTCTTTTTTTTTCCCGCACATGTGCATAGCTTTCATGGCTTTAGGCATGAGTGGCTGCACTCGCACACAGGATCATATATCAATACCTTCTTCCTCTTCTTCTTGCGAGTCTCATGCTATTAATGTTGTTGTTGTTGTTTTTTTTTTGTTCTTGCCCCCTCTAAGTCTTTTTGTTTTTGCGGTTTCTTTTTGCTTGTTTTCTATCTCCGTGCCCACTGGCGTGGCCTCCGTTGGCGAGCTGCTGCATACGCTCGATACAGTTGTTGTTGTTGTTTTTTTGTGTGTGTTCTTTTGCTTCTGGGG